GCACATCCCAGCTAACTTTCTTAAAAGGACACCTAGGGAAGGAAGGTAGCTTTCAGCTACATTTTATTCTTACAACAAAAGCAAAATAACTTGGCAACTATCAGGAAATACGCTTTGTGTAATACAAGTAAAAACAGCAACATCAACGCATGTAGATTTCTTTAATTAGAATCAAGACTGATTAGAATCAAGTCTTTCACTTTTAGCTCCCTGCTAGAACCCTGGCTGAAATAACCACCCTTTGGAATTTTGTTTATTCTGTAAGAGTTGATACATTCGATAAAATGGTTGATCTCTTAAACATATGCCTGGCAGGGCCACCCTTCACAAGAGTACACCTAGTTAACCATGCAGGAAACTGAAGTCATAGATATTTTTACCTGATGCTCAGCCATCTGGCTTTCAGGACTCTTGGCAGGTTCTAGACTCTCATTTAGCTTCACCTCAATGGCCTCCATTTTTGTGGAAATGGACTGAAGGGAGTCCTGGTATCTCTGCTGGCGTTCCAAAGCTTCATACAGGGTACGCTGCTTTTCGCTGATCTGACAAGAAAAGGGATATTACCAAATGTTTCCCAGCCCCTTATCTTCCCCATTACGACATGTTTCCTCACTGCTTTACCTCTGTGGCTCAACAGGGTATTCAAAATACCCTCTGTGTAAACGCTATGCATGTATTTCATAAGAGAACAACTAAGGTAACTGATGTCGAGTGGGCTCAAAAAGTCTACGCTGTGAAGACTTACCACATTCTTTAAGGTTTCCCAAGAACGCTGCAAGTCATCCAGCTTAGCTGTGGTGGAAGACGCCAGACCTGGCTCATAGAAATCCTGGGACGAGGGCCCGCTGGGGTGAATTCTGGCGGCCTCCGTCTGCAAACTCTCAGGAGATAGGGCTTGGTAAAAAGCAATGTCCTGTGGAGCAAAGCACACCACATTCAGAGCGGGGTGGAGTCTGCAACACGCTCCGGCCACTGTCAGTCAGTGGAGAAAAGGGGTAGGGTCTACATCTTTCACTGGGGCAGCAAACAGGTGAAACTGGTACATTTTGTGACAAGATGAGTGAAAGACTAATCACCATATTAAAAGCACATTATGATCACTTTAGAATTGCGGTTTACCTAAACTAGCAGCTTTTCCAATAGTCTGTGTTGCCAAAATTCATTATTTCATACTTTGTGAAGTAGAAACGCACAGGAGTTAATGGCATGTTTATATTTAAAAGTTGGTGAAGCAGCACAGCATAAAACCCAAACCAACTGTCACTCAGCTAACTCCAACTTATGACACCGCCACAAGGGGCAGAGTAGAACTGTATTCCCTGGGGTTATACTTTCTTATTTGTTGCATTTTTAAAAAAAAACTTACTTTGTTGTTGTTGTTGAGAAAACACACCACACACACAACAATTCAAGGGTTTCCACACACACAGTTCAGTGACATTGTTTACATTCGTCTGGTTGTACACCTGTTCTCACCCTCCTTTTCTAAGTTGTCTCTCCTCCATTAACATCAATGCGCTAAACTCTAAGGTTCCTATCTAATCTATCAAGTCGCTGTCTGTCGTCAATTTGATCATATGTACAAAAAAAGATCCACTGTCATTGAGATCATTCTGACTCATAGTGACCCTATAGGACAGAATAGAACTGCTTCAGAGGACTTTCAAGGCCATAAACTTTACAGAAGTAGACTGCCTCATCTTTCTTCTGCAGAGCAGCTAGTGGGTTCCAATGACCTTGTAGTTAGTAGCCAAATACTTTAGCCAGTGTGCCATCAAAGTTCCTTGATCCCACATAGATCTTAAAACAGCATTATACTCAAAGGCAGACATTTTTTACTAGTTAAGCTACACCATTGCTTGGTTTTAGGAAGACTTCAGGGGTTATTTTTGGTTTATCCATAAGGTTTAAATGGATGATAT